ACTATAGGCACGTGCCATCACGCCTGGCTAATTTTTCTATTTTTAGTAGAGACGGGGTCTCGCTCTTGCTCAGGCTGGCCTCCAACTCCTGACCTCAAGCAATCCTCCTGCCTCAGCCTCCCACAGTGCTAGGATGACAGGCATGAGCCACTGCGCCCGGCCCCTAATTTCTTCTAGTTGCATCTTCTTCATTATTCCAGCTTGGGCAGCAGATGATTCTCCCTCATTAAAAGTACAAAAGAGAAATAAAAGTCATTCCCTTATGTAGGTGGATTTGTTTGTTTTGTTTTTTGAGGTATCGTAGAGTAGCAGTCTATATACTTAAAGCCAGTGCTTCACAACCAGGGACAACCTTGCTCCCCAGGGACATGCGGCCACATTGAAGTCATTTTCACAACTTGGTGGGTGTTACCGGCATCTAGTGGGTCGAGGCCAAGGATGCTGCTAAACACCCTGTAATGCACATGACAGCTCCCCACAGCCCCAGCAAATAATTATTCAACCCACAATGCTGTTGAGAAACTCTGCTTTCAACTTTGAAAATATCCATCTTTCCTCTCTCATTTCTCCATCAGACTCACCCAGAAGCTAAGAGACTTGATTCCAAAATGAAGACAGTATAGCCTTGGGAGCCACACAGTTACAAAATGGACTTTGTATTTTGACATAAATTATTTTATCCCTTTAGGCCTCGGGTCCTCATGTGAATGGTGGGGCTGGCAGTCATCAACTGGAGGGGTAGAAGGGGGAGTCAACCAAAAGGAGGGTCCCTGGCCGGCCCAGAGCTCCTGCAGGAGAGCCACCTGCACGCGTGGCTCTTTGTCTCTTGAATGGGGGGGCTGATTCAGAGGCTCTTCCCCCTGCCACTTTATTCTGGTGCTGTGAGGGAGAGAAACAGCTTTTGTCTAACCAAGGGACTATCTTCTTTGTTGTCTGGGAAACAGAATTTATCAGGGCTCCTTTCTATGTTCTTCCATAAGTCTCCACCATGGCTATGATTACACCTTCTAATAACTGACCTTCTTCTTCCTTTTTCCCAGAAGTACACGTGGAGCCTCATAAGAAGCAGCTGCACGTGACCCTGGCTTACCACTTCCAAGCCAGCCACCTGCCCACCCTAGAGAAACTAGCCCAGAACATTGACGTCAAGCTAGGGTGTGACTGGGTGGCAACTATATTTTCTCGGGATATCCGATTCGCTAACCATGAGGTAATGTCTCAC